GGGCCTGGTTTGGGGGGTAAACCCCCACCCCCCCCCCCCCCAAAAGTGAGGTCTGAGAAGGCTGGCAATTTCTTTAAACTCTTCATTTTTAAAAGGCATTCTGATCTCTCTTTTGTGCAATCCAGCTGATTCTCCTTCACTTTCCTCATGATGCTCATGTGTGCAAACTACCTTTGGTAAATCTCCAGGTCTCCAAATTGAAGCTGAAAACTGAGATGTCTGTTTGCTTTTATCTTGAGTAGAAACCTGATTCTTATTTCTTTGCTCTCAACTGCTCTAGAGCTGCGTTCACTCATATATCATGGCTAAATGAATTAATCCATTACCTGAGGATTAGATAAGGAAATGGGGACCTCTCTATTATATAAGAACAAGACAATAACAAAGGGAATTTGAATCAAATGACACACCAAGCTCCAAAATAATGAAATTTAACAAGAAACAACCTTAATATCTTGTGAGATTGCAGCTGCTAGATGTACCATTGCTTTAGGCACTCACTGCAAAATTACTGTACAGAATGTCCTCCCCCAGCTCTCTTCTGTTATTTCAACCATGATGAAAATGGATTATGTGACCATTGAAGAATCTCTCAAAGTTGCTATCTCAAAAGAGCCACCTCACAATGCTCTTGACAAAAACAACACAAAGAAAAGATGGTTTAAATAATTCTCTTTATTAGATGCTCCTTTTTGTTCAGGTCAGGCCTCACCATGATGATGTAGCACTTGGGGAAAAAGACACAAGCCAGGAGTCCACCACTGGAGGCCAAGATGGAGAAGACTTCCACAGCCACCATGTACTTCCCCTTGGTGCTCATGTAGGCAGGGACAAAGGACAGCCACACACTGCAAAACACCAACATGCTGAACGTGATGGATTTGGTTTCTTGGAAGCTGTCTGGTAACTTCCTGGCCAGGAAAGCTACAATAAAACTGACAAGAGCCAGGAAGCCCATAAAAGACAAGACACAATAAAACATGACAACTGACCCTTCATTGCATTCCACAATGATTTCTGAAATGAAAGAGTGCCTATCAAAGTCTGGGAAAGGGGGTGAGCTTGCCAGCCACACACTACAAAGAAGAATTTGAATAAGGGAGCAAGAGAGAACAATGGAAAGGGCTAGCCTTGTCCCAACCCATGTCCTCAAACGAGATCCTGGCTGAGTGGCCATGAAAGCTACAACTACAGTGATGGTTTTGGCCAAGATACAAGAAACAGCCAGTGAGAAGATGATGCCAAAAGCAGGTTGTCGAAGGAAACAAGTCATCTTCACGGGTCGACCAATGAAAAGCAGAGAACAAAGGAAGGAGAAGAGGAGGGAGATGAGGAGGGTGTAGGAGAGGCTGCGGTTGTTGGCCTTGACAATGGGAGTGTTGTGGTACTTCAGGAAGATGCCTAATACAGAAATGGTGGTCAAAGAAAGGATAATGGCCACTGTCAGCAAGCTGCTTCCTAACATTTCTTCATAAGAGAGGTAAGAGATGTACTTGAGAAGGCAGAAATCCTGGTTATGGTTTGGATACTGATCTTCTGGGCACTGGAAGCATTTGTCCATATCTGAAAAAGCAAACAGAAGTAGAAAGTCAAGAGATAGTTGAGAGGCCAATAATCTGAGAAGATAAGAGACATATATTATAAAATTATGTTTTAAAAAATGACATAGTATCCTCATGTGGATTTCGTTTCTGCTTGGATTATGATAATGGACAAATGTCCATTTTATTTTTTGCAAACATTTCTTTCAAAAAATAAATATCTCAAAGATATTTATGAAACCATCCTACAGTATATATATAAAAATGCTTATCAACTTTTTTTTCAAATTCAGCTAAAGCTTGGAAGGATTTCCAAGATGCCTTTAAGGCAGAAGACCCAAAAAAACCTTAATATAAGATGTATTCACTATTCCTGTAACCACTATTTGCAGGCTCATAGAGTCCAGTAAAAGTGTGTAATTTGTTGTGGAATGTTATACAAGTTTAGGAAATTCAGTGCAATGTCTAAATGATGAAGAACATCCACTATGTTTCATAACATCTCTTACCTGTCTGATTGGTGATCTTTCCCTGTGGACATCGAAGGCAGTCATAGCAGCAAAATAGTTCTCCTTCTTTTGGGGTCTTTCGGTACCCTGAAGGACAATAATCATTACACAGGGAGAGAGGTGATACCTGCCCATGGGGAAAAAAAAAAAAAGTATGTTAACATAGTGGAAATAACATTCAGAGATTGTGGTTGCAACATGTTGAGATTTTGGTGCTGAAGAGCACCTTCCCCTATTCCCTGACTCAGCTGAAATGGCACAGAGACACATAAATAATTCTGGGCCCATGATTGATAACAGTGTTGTGATCAGGCCAAGAGGAAGATGCCCTCAGATTCTTTGTTACTCCATGCATCACCTGGATGTTTCAGCAGTTGCATGCAATATATTTTATGAGAATAGTCACTTGACAATATACGAAATAAATACATGTTCTAATTGGTCTGATTTGCTCAGCTTTTGGTAAGTTTTTTTTTTTTTAAGATAAAAATACTCAACAGAAAAGAATGCAACTGTGTTAGCTTGAGGTGAACATCCTTGGAATATTGGATAAAGTAGTAAATCAGTATTGACATGAGATGGTTTCTACCTGGTTGAACCAGGTGGGCCAGATGATGTCATCCTCTGAAATGGTCAGCATCTGATGTGAAAGTCCTTCTGGATCGATGGTTCCAACCTTAACTCTAAGGAAGGACTGGTTTGGGAATGTGACCCAGTTTATAATATTAAATCCTCCTACAAATTCTCCATTTTGGTCAAAGGAAATCTTGTCCCCAGCACTGTTATTAAATGAGACGCCTCTCAGAAAATGGTGAAGCTAAACAGCAAGGATGAAAATGTTGGAAAAGAGATAAAAGTGTGATATAACCGTTTATTGTTAATGGTTTGCTAAATGTTTATGTTACCAATATGATAAATGCCAGCACACACCGGATAAAGTTCCTTGGATTCCCTCTGCATTGGACTCCAGTCTTAAGGCAGAACCAGTGAATGTTATGGGGGCTGAATCTTGCACAGTTCTCTGGAAGGAGTTTGATACTGTTGAACCCGAGGCAGTGGACAGGGTTCTTGTAGTTGCTAATTCAACCACTTCTGTGTTAGAACTGTGCCCCTCCTGGTTCATCAAGGCTGCCTGGGACAGACGTCTGATTGGGTCTGGGCAGTGGTTAATTCCTCCGTGGGGGGGGGGGGATGGTCCCACTGGCTCTGAAAAAAGTGGTGGTACATCCTCTCCTCAAAAGGCCATTGTTTGACCCAACTAGTCTGGACAGCTTTCCTCTAGTCTCCAATCTCCCCTTTTTAGGGAAGGTTGTCAAGAAAGTGGTCACATGGCACCTTCAAAGGATGCAGGATGAAGCAGTTTAACTAGACCCCTTTCAGTCTGGATTGGGCCATGTAATGGGACTGAGACAGCATTGGTCACACTCTTTAATGACTTACTGGTTTCAGCCCAGGAACAACAGGTATACAGTCCAACCAAGTCAGTTTTTTACTGATTACACCACAGATACACCATTGCCAGACTACAGCAAATCTGTAGTATGCTAACCTAATGGATAGACACTGGGTGATTGTACGGAGTGACTATCCTATTTCTGGCTGGTGTGGGTCTTCTGGGCTTTGTGGCCGTGTTCTGGAAGTCCAGAACACGGCCACACAGCCCGGAAGACCCACACCAGCCATCGTATGCCGGCCATGAAAGCCTTCGACAATATATCCTATGTCTGTTCCTTTTCCCATGCTCTTGCTCTGGACTGTGTTGCCTCTTGTCACCCTCCCCCCTTCCCTTCCTGCAGTGCACTCTCTCCTTCCTCAGAACCTGGTTCTCTACTCCATTCTATCAAATGACCTCTGGCAGGAACGGGATAGGGATCATGCATCCATGCTTTCTCTTTTTTAACTTTCAGTGGCCTTTGATACCATCAATCATGGTATTCTACTGCACCACCCTTGAGAGTTGCAGCTGGATGGCTTGGTGTTGTGCTGGTTCTCCTTCTTCCTGTGAGATCAGTTCCAGTCAATGTTGATTGGGGGGGGAGAGATCCATCCCATGGCCCCTACTTTGTAGGATGCCACAGGGTGAAGCCCTCTCTCTCCTCTTCTTTATCATGTACATGAGGCTGCTGGGTGAAGTGATTCAACGGTTTGGGGTGAGGAATCATCAGTATGCTGATGATACCCAGTTTTATATCTCTACCCCACACTGCCTGAGGGATGCCGTAGATCTGCTATCACAGTGCCGGGAGGCTATAGGGGCCTGGATGGAGTGCAATGGGCTTCAACTCAATTCAAGCAAGATGGAGTGGCTTTGAGTACTTGGGCCTTCTGGTGTCAGGGTTTTTCCACCTTCAATTCTGGATAGGTTGGCATTTCCCCAAATGGACCCAGTGCACAATCTGGGGCTACCCTTGGACTCACGGTTCCTGCTGGAATAGCAGGTACCAGCCATGGCTTGGAGGGCCATAGTGCACCTTTGGGTTGTGCACCAGTTGTGCCCATTCCTGGCCTGGGATTAGAATTGTCCCGACCCTGTTGGCCTTTCATAAGGCCTTGAAGATTTGGTTGTGTGCCTGAGCTTGGGTTCCTGAGTGTGTTAAGGGCCCCGTTTCCTGGTTAAATTACCATCTAAGTTAGGATTTTCTCAGCTGCTATATATATATTTATTTTTGGTATTGAGTTTACATGCAGTTTTAATTGATTTTATGATTGGACACCACCCTGAGTCACTTGTTTGAGATGGTGGCCATAGAAATTAAATAAACAAATAAGAAAACACGTACTCAGCACTATTATAGTACATTAGACGTAAGATTGCATCATTGTCTTGATGGAAGTGGAATCTTTAGCTTCTTATCATTCTAAAAATATGATTAATAATATTTTGCCAACTTAATCTCTCAATAGATTTTACACAGATTATAAAATCTTTGTTTATTTCTTATGGACAATGCCTGATATTTTTCTACAAACCTAACATGTATGATGTAATGCATTAAAACCCTCCAAGTCACTGTGTGTCTATGTAAGGACTTTGAACACTTACTATACTTACAGAATTACTTTTTATGGAAAGATAGTTTGAAAAATCTTAATTGTAACAGTTCTGGGTCAAAATGAGGCTGGCATCATTTTCACCATCTCCCCTCCACCCCCCCCCCTTTTTTTTTTTTTTTACAAAAATATATCATGCCAGTAGGAAAAAGAAAAAAGGAAAAGATAACTAAATAAGGATGAGCAAACAGCTTTATGCAACTTCATGCTGATATAGTGAGATGGGTATGTGATTATAATTGTAAGATATAAGCATCTCGGTTATATTGCAAATTGCAGGGCTACCAGTAAGATGCCAGAAAGCAGGAAAATTGGCTAGTTCTAGAACTGAGAACTCAAAAACTAAAATTCAAATATACAGAAGTTGCAGTAGAGGAAGATCCTATGAAATGATTCCTTATAAAGCCCCTTTGAACTACAACAATATCTCTTTCTGAGTGGAAATGAGTCATGATCCCAATATATCTGGCAGACAACATACTCAGAAGGTCACAGATCTAGTTGGTGCGACTTTATAAGGAGATACTCTTTGAAAAACTAAACATGTTTTAATCATGGGACTAATATGAGAATGAGACAAGATACATTCCTCTGCACAATCTCTTCTTGGTGAAAAATTATAAAAAATCAAAATCTGCAATGAATCTGCAATGAATATCAGCCATTCTTAGGAAGATGATGGGACAAGATATCTTTTATGGGACAAGCTGTTGTAACAGCTGGGAACTGGAAGTTGAATTGTAGAAAGAACAACAACAACTAATTAAAGATGTGTAGGACACAAAGCATAGGGCAGCTCAGCCCAACTTTTTGCTCTGCAGATACACTTGAGCCACAGATTTTAACATATGCACCCAACATGAAGAAGAAATTGGTTCTTCATGAAAATATGAATATCTCAGGTCACAAACATCTGACAGGGATAAGTTAAACAATGAAGGTTTATAATTTTGCTTTGCATCAACAGATAGAGTGAGATATCTTGCATTAATCTGATGAGGAAATTTACCTTCCATGACTGCTCTTGAACAGGTTTCCATGTCACCCCTGATTTTTGCCGGTTTATGGATGAATAGAGGGCATGCAAAGCATGTGCAACAACATAGACAGCATTGTAGACACTGTAACTGTGGGCAGTCATCCTTGTTTCAAACACAGTTACAGGGAGAGTCTCCAGCTTCTCCTCTCCAGTGCAGACATTCCCTTCTATTGGGTCACTGGTAGGGTTTGGAAGGAGACAATTAAAGACCTGCTGCCAAATTTCTTTCAGGAAGCCATCTCTTTTATGCCATAAAGGATTCCTCATTTCAACAAATTTCTGGA